TGAAACGAGGTAGGGCCTGCAGGCCCTCGTTTTTCAGCATCCAGGCTGAAATGAACGGGGCCTGTAAGCCCTAAGTTTTAGGCTTTTAGGCTGAATGTCCGGGACGGGCCCTGTAGGGCCCGTGTGGCTACGCAGTATGCCACAATGAGCCAGTCCAAAAATGAAACAGTTCTACCTCTACAGCAAGGAACATGGAGCATAATACATCCATCATTTCCCTTTCTCAAGCATATTTAACCCCTGTTATTTGCTCTTGCAGCTCCCCTTTCACTATGTCTCTTGCATACAAGGCTGGCCACATTCATTGTGGTTAAGCACCAGCTGCCCGCATCCCCGTGTGACTTACAGCACACTCTGCAATGATGTTCCCTCCAAAAGAGGACGTACCGGTAGGTAGAAGCAACCGTGCAACTTACAGCACACTCTGCAATGGTGTTCCCTCCAAAAGAGGACGTACCGGTAGAAGCAACCGTGCAAAGAGGCACTACTCCGGTATATCAACAGAGGAGGCCAAGTGCTCAGCCTCATTTGCTTGCGTGCAGCTTGGAGGCACACTGCTGGAGCAACAGGCCAGCTGAGTCAGCTCTGTGTGGAGGAAGAAAACGGCTTGGTCTCCACCTCAGCTGTGGGAAAGAGACCAAGGACGAGCATCGAGGAAGAGGGAAGGAAGACGAAGAAGAAGGGAAAGAGTGACAGAGGGAGCTTACCCTGGCTAGGGTGGTATGCATCTTCATCTGCACCTCCGCCATAGCCACTGTCTTCACCAAGTAGGAGGTGTAGGATGGCTATGCTGAACTTCTTCTTGAACGACTGGCAGTAAGGGGAGGATTCGGACATCAATTCTGGTTCACTAATTCATTGTTGTTGTTAATTATTATTATTATTATTATTATTATTATTATTATTATTATTATTATTAAGCAATAAGATGTAGGGGAAGATGCTCGCCAGTTGAGGGGGAGGCGACATCTGCTCTTGCTTGTGTTTTTTTTTTTGTTCTTCCCTTGCATTTATTTTCTTTTCTTTCTTCCCTTGCATTAATAAGATGTTGGGGGAGATGCTGGGGAGTTGAGGGTTAACCTGGCCAGAGATTCCACGAACTACGGTCAGTAGAATTGAAGTACAACTTTACTTTTGCCGGTGTTATTAACTGCACTTTTATAACCACTTACCTCCAAGCTTCAGTCCCTCCATACTCCCTCCAAACTCCCTTGAGACCAAACACAGTGTTTGCAGACGGCCATGGATGTGCGCTCTCTATTCAGCATACATAGAATAATCACACGTTTATCCAGGGCTCAAAAGACCTCTCTGCAGGTCTCCTGCGATGCCTGGATTTGCCAGACAGGGCCACTGCTGCATGGGTGCTCGGGAATCTAGTCCAACCCGGACAGCCACCATGCAAAAAAAAAGGGCAAAAAAAAGGGTGGAATCAGATATAACCATCTCTTCTTCTTTTTTTGGGGGGGGGTAAATATGATGAGACGGGCAATCAGCCAGCTTTCAGAGTCCGGTTTTACTTTTTGCTAGAATCGTTTTCGACACACCTCAACATCATAATAGGATGTGTTCTTTCCACATTCCTTGACCCCTCCCATAAAAATGGTGAATTTCTCGGTAGCCTACTCAGTTCACGCTATATCCAAGATTCCAAGGCACTCATGGCCCCAGTAAACGATCACAATACAATCCTGACCATCCCACACCTTGCAGCTTGAGGTTGAGCGTGGGCCGCGACAAACATGGACAGATGGTCCAGTTGCAACTAACACAAGCCCATCCATCCCAGAAAGAGGGGTGTGATGCCCACTCACATTTTGGGCCGTGACAAACATGGACCGATGGTCCAGTTGCAACTAACACAAGGCCATCCACCCCAGATAGAGGGGTGTGATGCACACTCACGTTTTCTTTCCAAAAAGGACATGGCAACTTGGCCATTTTGCCAGCAGCACAGATCCTTCATTTCATKGCSRRGGGGGGGGCGGGGGGGGGGGGGRGGGAGTGCATCTATGCTCTGTACAAACTCTACTCCTAAGCCCATGCAGCCAAGACATGTCTGATTTCAGGCCCACAGAATGTATTGTGTTGAACATATGCGAGCTTTCTACCACAGAAAGTGTGGTGTTCAACACATGTAATTTTGTTCAAGTCCATAGTCAAACTATAGGGATCATGTTAAAGCACCAGTACATGCCAGCTATCAGCCACAGGCCCCTTTCGGAGGCCGCCCACCGCCGATTCATTTTATCTACGGCGCTCAGCCCCCAAAATCTCCTTCCTTGTCGCATTCCAATCAGTGTCAAAGATAGCATGGCATGCGCCACGTCAGCAATGTAGAAGACAGTGTGGCAAGTGCCACGTCAGCAAACATGAAGACAGCTGGCGCCGAGAGGCACCAGCACGCAAAGCAGCAGTCTCGTGTCGTCGTCGCACAATGCCAGCGTAGAGCCAGCGTCTTGCCAGCGCCCAGCCAGCATGCTGCCAGCGTCATGCCAGCGTCAAGTCAGCAAGGCAAGACTGAATGTCGACTCCCAGGGGCAGGGTTATCTACGGCGCTCAGCCCCCTAAATCTCCCTCCTCGTCGCATTCCAATCAGTGTCGAAGTTAGCAGGGGATGCACCACGTCAGCAATGTAGAAGACAGTGTGGCAAGTGCC